TTGAGATATTCAGTGAAAATTTCCCGGCCAGACAACTGGGATGTCCTTCAGCAGTTCCAGTTGCAGTGCTGGGGTGAAGCTCCCTCATCTGGTTGGAGATCTAGGGTGAAACTCCTGTTTTGAGGTCTCTTAATTTCCCCTTCCACAGGACATAGTCATTGGGGCGGCTGCAGATCCAGTTCTTCTCCGTGTGGCACAGGGACGAGCTGATCCACCAATAGTTCAGGTACTCACAGGGTCCTCCACCCCGCACCTCAAACCTGCAATGCCAATGGGATGAGAGTGAGAAAAAGGGAGCAAAGGAAGAAAACTACCTCCAAAAATTAAGAAGAGCTGGGATTTCCTCTCCAGCAGAGAAGGGCTTTGGCTGGGGGGGTCTCTAATTCTCTGATCAGGGTTGGGGGGCAGCGACCTCGGCCCATCCCAACCCCCCATGGAAAGCCAGGAGCTGCCTGGACACGGGGTAGGAGAAGGTGCCCATCCCAGGATGGGGCATCCCAGACTCCAGGAAATCCCTGGGCCCACCCTGGGGCTCCAGCACGGACACAGGGACCCACCTGCCGTTCAAGGCCATGCCATTGATCCACTCCCAGCCCTTATCCCTCTTTTCCAGCCCGATCCAGTGGTTTGCTTCACCTTTATAGCGCAGAAGGAAGGCCTGGAAAGCAAAGAAACGTTGGCTTTGGCCAGTCTTGCCTTCCCCACCTCCTCTTTCGCTCCTGTGCCCACCCCCAGCCAGACCTGGGGCTTTTCCCAAGGGGTTGGCTCCAGCTCCAGCACTGGCAGCACTTTGGGGCCAGCCTGGGGGGTTTGGGGCTGCTTTTATCCTCCTGGTTTCCCCATGTTTCCCACCCCGGAGCTGCTGCAGAGGCTCAAGCCCAGTCCTCAATTCATCCCAGTCCTCACCAGTTCCTCCCAGTCCTCACCAGTTCCTCCCTCGTGCTTATGGTGGCCAGGGAAGTTCCCAGGGCCTCACACCTTTCCCGGCCCGTGGTCCAGTTGCCCTCAGCCTCAGAAAAATGATAACATTTTCCTTGGAAACCGGGCCAGGTGTCTGGGCACACGTGGGAGAATTCCAGCTCAGAGAAACGGGGTCTGACACTGAGAACTGAAACACAGAAAGCTGAGTCAGACACGTGGGCAGC